ATGGCGCTTAGGCTCGCAAGGTACAGCGGTTGGTTGAGATTCTTTAATGACGAAAATTGTGTTATTATTTTTCAGGACGCCTGTATCCCGAATCCCTGTTTGTCTGGTGGCACGTGTTCTAAGGACAATAAGACGATAGAATTCAATTGTACTTGTATTCCTAGGTACAGTGGACTAATCTGTGAGATAGGTGAGAGTGATAAAACTACATGAAGCAGAATTATCAATCTCGTTGTACTCATCACCGTCTATCTAGTCAAGAGAACATTGATTTGTATGGCTTCTCACTTGTCATTGCAGTGGGCGAATGAAAAGTGGGGAAGCAGAACCTTTCCGCCACTCTTCCCCTCCATTCTGTTCCAGATGTCTCTCTTTTCTTCACTGCTTGTCGTCCATAGTAAATCGGATAGAAACTAATAATCCTCGGCTTCGTGTAATAAATATATTCATAATGTATTCCTAAAGGGCCCTATGGCTGGTCTTCGCAAAGACCTGGTAAATCTTGTAAGGACATTGCGTTGAGTGGTGATGGATTGTACGATGGGAAATACTGGATTGACCCAGAAAATTCTGGGAATGTTATGCAGGTTTATTGCGAGATGAGTTTCGAGGTAGGTGAGTGCATTGTATGATTAGTTAGATTCTTTTAGCTAAAATGTTTCTTCTTTTTTGAGATTTTTTTTTCTCCTCATGAGAATCTTAATTTTGCATTTTCTTATATTTTAATGTGTTGGACTTTGTTTCTGAAGGTGGATGTCTACTTGTCTCCAATGTCATCATTCCAGCTCCAGCCGTTGTGCCATCACTGACTTTGTCTCAATCCTATCGCAACATTTCCAACTACAATGATAACAAAACCATCATTTCAGCCTCTGCACTCGGTCAACTTCGCCAGCTTATCAATTTTACTAGGCTTAGATTCCACTGTCGTCAACAAAGCATTGGCCGTACTCTTCACCTTGTCTTAACAACAGACTCCAAAGGCAAAGCTGTTGTTCACTACTTCAGTTCAGCACACAATACCAGGCCTTTGGCATGCGGCTCATACTACCAAGGTCCCGGTGATAATTCCTTGCTCGCTGGCCAGTGCCATCTCTGGGGTATTAATGGAAAGTGGGKTTCAGATAGCGAATCATCTGAATGGAGACTTCATAATTATGCCTTTTCTATCCAAGGCTCTATCTGGAGCACTGGTAGTTACTGCGATTCACATAGGTAACCTCTGCCAATACTCCTGGGGATTTTTGGAAGATTTATGTTCAATAGTCAAGTGCAAACAAACGCAATTTGGAAGCTCACGTAAAGATGGTATTTTCGTGGGATACCTATGAAAATAAACGGTCCAGAGAGCAGTAGAAGTTGTTTTGTTGGCAGTAGTACGTGACGGTGGAAATTGACACCAAATTACATAAATATATGTAAGCACTTTATCTTTCTATCTTATGTTAACTGAAAAGGTCCCAAATGAGCCCTGCATTTTTCATTCCACCTGACTTTCATTTTGTTTTAATTCRCAGCCTTGGCTAAACCATAAGTATATTTGATTTTTGAAACATTTATAGAAAAACGATGAGGTTTTAACGATGAATTTGAAAATTTGAATTTCCTAACTATATGGGAATGATATGTAATGACATTTTCTCTGGGTCTGGCCAGCCAGTTCTGACAAATGGAAAACGCACTRAGTGTACTAAGTTTACAAGACTCAAAGATACGTTCTGAACTGGCGTCACCACTTTGGATATCCCACCTTTACTTATGCCCATACTGTAATTTTTCTGCAATATTCGAAAAGAGTGGCAAATTTGCTAGACTTTGATATAAGAAGTTTGAATATGTCCCACACACAGATGAATATTCAAATGATTCTCCTTAAGTATAAACAAATTAAATAAAACTCACAAATTTGGTTCCTTTTTTTACTCAAATATGTTGAGGCAATAAAATCGTTTTATTTTTACAGCTATTTTCTCTACACAATCGTAAAAGAACGTAAGAGCAATGGTGATTCTGTATGTGCAGAAATGATACATAAAATATTATATAAAACCWGCATTAAAGGAATTATTACTTATCCGAGAATAATAAATGTGTTTACCTGATCTCGCGGTATATGTACGCTGAACGATAATTAGAGCAAATGTTCAAATGTTTACAGGGAATGACTTTGATATGCGACAGATGCAGTTCAAACCACCTAAGCTTTTAACATCCGATCAATTAGATATTCCATTAAGAGTGTTACCTAAAAGTGTCGCGCAAGGACAAGAGCTGACAAGCTATTCAAATCAAGCCGCCAATGGCAACACAACTCGAAGATTGATTGTGCAGACGAATACAGAAAGATATAATGATGAATCAAATTATAATTACTTAACGAATAGAATTTTAAATAAACGATTTATGAATATAGTTTTATAATTTAACTTCGGTTCTGGATAAACACAAGCGAGCGCCGGTGAGATGAATACCACTCGAGCTACAACTATGAGTAAATGCTGCCACGACCAGAAGCGCTACATCTACCCTGCGAGCAGAGTGTATTTCCTTACCTCAATAAAACTTCGCGAATTTTTATTGAGGTAAGGAAATACACTCTGCTCGCAGGGTACGCTACATCTGGATCCGAAAAACAAATAAAATCAACGCAAGTGTCAAAAAACAATAACAACTAAATCCCTAAGAAAACTTGGAGTTCAATTATTAAGCAAACAATATAAATTTCAATGTTGGTGGGCGAAAAAAAATTGAGTTTGCCTAATAAAAATTATTCGCAAGGAAAACCAGAGTACCAGAGCAAAGGTGAAGCAAATCGACGAATACTAGTGATCACATGATCACGTGGGCTTCCAACATAAAGAGCTTAAAGTTACATTATGGCTTCATTTCTCCACATTCATTACTGATGAAATGACCCAAAAACTACTAAGTTTGACTTTTGTTTTAGCCACAAATATGTAAAATTTGCGATCTTTGGGTAAATGCTGCCACTTCTAGTAGCGCTACATCTGGCAGCGAAAGACGCAAAAAAATCACCGCAAGTGTCAAAAACCAATAATAACAATCGATGTCGCTAGTCCAATTAAATCAAACAATATAAACTTCAACAAACAGCCAAATAGATATTTACTTAAATTGGATCATCAAAGAATTTGTGGTTTAACCGTATCAACGATTACAATTGATNATCTTTTCACGAGCTGTATTTTTCATGAACAATAAAGACCCTGTACGACCTCTTTTCACACGGCGACTAAATAATATACACTAAAAACAAGATCTAATGTGTCCTTACACTGCTTTGGCTTCTTCAAAACATTCACTTATAAACACAATGGCGATACAATATGTTACTAGTAATTGGGTAAAAGTAGATCAATCTATCTATTTATCATGTCTATCTATTTATTATGTCTTTCATTTTATTATTTTTTTCCAGGCAGAATGCAGCATGAGTTTTCTCTCTCTATCCTGTTGGTCTAAGACCATGACGATTTCTTTATTTTGTTAAGATCAAGACGATGATGTCTAAGGGTGTATTTGTCGTTTTTATCGTTCAAGCCATAATTCCTGATTCCAGTTCCCTTGGTTGTGACAAACAAGCGCGTTTTGATACACATCAAGGTATCATCAATTATSATTAATCTCAAAGTTCAGTCTTAGTACATGGTAATGGTACTACTTTTTGTTTGGCAAGTTTTAAAATGTTTTACCATAATGAATGTGTGTCAAATATTAATATTCATCGTCAACTCCAGAACGTTACATTAGGAATCAACGGGATATGTTCTTCTAAATAAGTGTTTTTCGTACAGTGTACGAATCTTTTCCTGGGAAAGGGATTTTGAGCTACATTGTTGACAATCTCACAAGCAAATGTGGAGCCCTTCTCTCTTTAAATAAATTTTGTTCCAGGAAAACGCTTTTATGGTCAGAAACGGCTTATATTTTTTAAGTTTAATTTTTTAAGGCAAAAATTCTTAGAAGGATTCCTTACCTGTAGAGTTCTTTTTTCCTGAACTTCTGGCTGGAAACCAGTAATTGTGAGTTACAGCTGGCTGGGACATAAGAACAGATATATTTCTCCCAGGAACCCGTCGGTTCCTCCTGACGTTATTCGGTTGTAAGAAACACGAGGACAAAAGTCATTTGCTTGCATAAAATTATTATTGACATTGTAATTAAGGTTTTTCAACCGTGATGTCAAAAATGTTTTGATAAAAATTAAGAATGTCAGTAATATAATCAAATGACTTTCTTTTTCCACATAATATCCTTTCAACACACCGAGTTTAATTTCTCACTAAACGCTTCAACTTCCAAAAGAGAATGCAAAGCGTTAAACCGTTTCCAGGAAGCAACTATTTATGTATCGTAAAAATCACTTAAATCACTATCCATCTTTTCAGGTTTTCGATTGTTGAACAGTGTGGTAGAGAACATTTCTGTTCCAACATTACCCGAYTGTATCTACAAGTGCATTGAAAAGAAACTCCTCTGCCTGTCAATCAACTATCAGCATGACAATAGTGACGTCAATCAGTGTTACCTTAACAACAGGACGAGGCGAACAGCASCAGCCAAGGACTTCAAATCAGATCCTCGCTTCACGTATTATGAAAAGGTATAACTTAAGATATTCGTTCACATAAGTGCTGCGGATCTAAAAGATTCCTAAGGGCAATATAACTTGTTTTGAAATCACAGGATCCCTGTGTCCCGAATCCTTGTTTGTCTGGGGGTACGTGTTATAGGAATAACAGCAACAAGGAATTTCTGTGTAGCTGTGCGCCAAGGCACAAAGGATCGCTCTGTGAAATAGGTGAGTGAGAACCTTTTATGGAGCCGTGATATTACACGTTAGGGTTTTGCTCTAAAGCGCCGTTTACACGAGCAATTTTGCCCTGACAACTTTCTTGACAAGGAAAAATTGCCCGTGTAAATGGTCAACAAGTTTTCCTCGACAATTCGTCCTTGACAATGTTTCTTTGCTAGTGTAAACGAAGAACAAGTTTTCATTGACAAGGAAAAATTGCCCGTGTAAATGGTCAACAAGTTTTCCTCGACAATTCGTCCTTGACAATGTTTCTTTGCTAGTGTAAACGAAAAACAAGTTTTCCTTGACAATTTGTCCTTGCCACATTTTCCTTGTTATCTATTTACACGAGCAAATTTCGTCCTTGACAATTTTTCCTTGTCAAGGAAAAGAGAACATGTTGGCTTTTCATTGACAAGGAAAAATTGCCCATTTCACCCCATTTACACGAGCAATTTTTCACTGTCAAGGAAAACTGGTCAAGAAAAAATTGCTCGTGTAAACGCCGCTTAATTAGCAAATATATTACAACTCTTGTCACCTGGAACCTCGCCACAAATCTTAGTCCCAATTCCCCTCTCCTCATTCAGATCCAATCATCATCATTATCAGTCTATTTCGCATGCGATACATATGGTGGATAAGGCCACCGTAGTGCTTCTCTATTCTATCTTGTCTGTTGAAACTGTTCTTACTTTTTCCCAAGACACCCATCCTTCTTTTCTTTCTCTTGCCACTGTCCTCTTCAGGTTGTTTTCGGTCTTTCTCTCGTCTTTTCCCTTCCATCTTCCCTTTCATTGCTGYTCTTGTCTTTTCTGAGAATATTACCATAATTTCCATCTTCGCAAGATATCCTATGCAAAAGGATAAACCCATGTACCATAAAGTTTTGACGCTTATAATGTATCYGCATTTCAGAGCCCCTTGGATKGTMTTCGAAAAGGCCTGGMAAATCTTGTAAGGACATCAAGTCAAACGGTGACGGATTGTATGATGGGAAATACTGGATTGATCCAGAGAATTCTGGAAATGCTATGCAGGTTTACTGYGATATGAGCCACGAGRAGGGTGAGGCCATTTTACGMGTCCTATATGGATCTTTCTAGTCATAATTTGCATTCGTTTTCATTAATATATCGCTTACTTATGTTTTTATAAAGGTGGATGGCTACTCGTCACAAATGTCATCATTCCAGATCCTGCCAGTACTCCTTCTCTGACAAATAAGGTCACTTATCGAGACATTTCCGAMTACAACRATAACAAAACAGTCSTAAAAGCTTCTGCATTGGGCCAACTTCATAGCCACATCAATTTCACCCAGCTCAGATTTCAATGTCGACAAAAAAGCGTTGGYCGAACCGTTCACGTTATTACAGAACCAAACTCMGAAGGCTACAAGGTCGTTAAATTCTACACTGCAGCATCTGATACCAGACCTCAAGCCTGCAACTCATTTTATCGAGGTACTGGGGACAGTTCATATCTCGCTGTCCAATGTAATGGRTGGTCAGGTAAAAAGTGGGGTTCGGCAACAAGATTGAACGATGTGAGACTTAATGATCACACTTTTTATGTACCTARCAAGTACCATTGGCAAACGTACAATAGTCGATTAGAATGTGATGCAGCTTACAAAGCTTTAAGTCCAGGCGATTACTGGAAAATATTTGTGCGCTAGGTCAACCTAAACACACCTTAGTGAACCTTCTTGATGAACCTCCTATTGAAAAATCCATCAAATCGTTGCATACCTAGAACATGTACATTACTTACAGTTTGCATGTATGTAGAGCATTGTAATGTCTGGCGGAGTGACTGGCATTGTTTCATATTCTTCTTTGCGACCATATGGTAATTAACAGCAATAGTCCCCTTCACGGTTCCCTGCGCCATCTTGAAAGGTAGCCGTGCCTTTGCATCGAAGCGAGACGACCGTTGAGCGTGCAATGATAGAAACCTTCTTTCACACCTACAGAGTATCTATCATTGCACGCTCAACTGTTTTCTCGCTTCGATGCAAAGGCACGGCTAATTTTCAAGATGGCGCAGGGAACCTTGAAGGAGACTATTCTATCTCCTCTTTTTGTATGGATGGCCAATTCAAAGTAAATGGGAATGTCTTGCTAGATCTTGTCCAAATTGATGCGGTTTCCAGGCAATTCCCCATTTCTTTTCTAGTATTCTAACAACGGGAACAATACCACAAAAAGCTCCAAAGACTTTGTTTTCCTTAAGAATGGCGAGATATCTTCCTTTGTATCTTTGATTGGATGTAAAAAAAAATTTAAATCTCCATTTAAAACTTCTAAAACTAAAGTAAATACAACGAAATGACAAATATTGTATCGTACAAACTCTTTTTGCCATACTTTATAGTAACATAGATCTTGAAACAATGATTAAATGCACATAAGCACGTAAAGAGACGAAATATTTTTGGAATGGATATTTTTGACGCTTCGATGAAAAATATATTTTGTGATTTCAATATGGTTTCTCATCAAAAATAATTTAGGCCGGAGCAATGGCTCACGAAAATTGCGTTTAGAAGAAGAAGATGAAATAATAATATTGTTACAACCATATTTTCATTTTATTTTGAAGCTCATCGAGTACGTGAGAAATTTTTGAAGACATCTTTTTCGTTTTTCGATCATTTTTTTTGTCCCTTCTTGCTTTTAATACAGTCAACTCTCGCTATTATGGACATTCTTGGGACCGTAATTTAGTGTCCGCAGTAGCGAGAGTCCGTRGTAACGAGAGTTACTTTCAGTCATTTCTTGTATTTTTCGCCGGAGATTCAGTATTTTACTGTCCGCAATATTGAGGTGTCCGTTGTAGTGGGGTGTCCGTAAGGCGAGAGTTGACTGTAGTAAGGGACTGAGCAGTATTTATCAGGAAAAATCAACGGAGTCAGATTCGAAAACTACTCAAGAAAAGTGTGCCACGATTTTCGGCAAGTCTGTATTCGAGAATAATAAATGAATGAATCTACCGGGGGTAGGGGCAGAGCCTAATTTATTTCGTTTGTAATGGGGGGGAGTAGTAATTGCCATTTTTGATTTTTTGGCTCATTTCTCAACCCCCTCCTGATAAATATTGCGCAGCCCCTAAAACAATGCTTGTCACCGAGCTTATGTAAACGATTTCAACAAGAGCAGTAGCAATAGAGTATAGCAGACAAGGCTGGTTGTACGAAGGGAGAATAGGTGAGCACTATCCTCTGGATAAAGCGTTATTCACTGAATAAAATCCCATAAAAATCTAAGGAGTGGATAACTGTATCCATCCTCACAACAGCCGCCAGGTCTACGACGAAATCAAATGTAAAACAAATGCCAAAAAAACATATAATACATAACACCCTGCACATTACAACTGCAGGGATCGCGAAGCAGGGGGGGCTAGGAGGCTGTAGCCCCCCCCCCAATAATGTTCCCGCCATTTTGAATTTTCTTAAATAAAGAAGCGAACATCCTCCTTGTGAAATTTCACCATATATATATTCTATAAAAAGTGCGTTAAAACTGAGCGTGAATAATTAAAATAGAGGCTTTTTGCGATTTTGGGATTTGCTTTTTAACTCGGAGATTGCGTTAGCAATCGTAGAGTTATTGGGAGGGGACAAGCTGTCCCTCGCTCGATCGCTCGCTCGATCGCTCGATCACTTTCCTGTAAATTTGAGCCTGCGATGTTTTTGTCAGCAGTTATTCATTTAATCATATTAATATATTCTACTTACTTGCTCTAAATGGTCTCCCTGTGCTTTTCGATTAATCATTGTTTATTATTAAATATATTCTCTACTTCTATATTATGAAATTCATTTTAGACGGTCCGCCTGTGTTGTTTCAGCTACGAAATAAATTTCATTTTCCCACCACGTTTAGAACCCGCGACCTCTGAATTGTACGCCAAGCGCCTTAACCGATTGTGCCACGGTGACACTTTGAGGAAGCTTGGCGTGTTTTAGTAGTTTTATAGGGAGCACCGCTGTTCGAGTCCGGCTTGAGACAGGACATTTTTTTCTTTTTTTCTTTTTGATGTTTTGGAGATTCTCTTTTCTTTTTCTCCTTTCTCTAATAATAACAAACATGTTTCTGCATAAAGTTTTGTTTTTAAGAAATTCTTTTCATTTTTGCGATCGGTATAAAATAAAATAAGGTTCACCATGATGGGTTTCCTGTGTTATATGCTGTGGATTCAATCGATATTTGCCGAAAACAACTGACCCATCGCACTAACTTAAAAACCTGGATTCAAGAGGAGAAAAAATTGTAAAAATTATATTGTTTGACGTAGAATTGTACCGATTGCAATAAGTTTTGACTGGGTTTTCGCTTCGAGTACGTGTCAACATGGCGTCTCTGCTAAAAGTAGCTTTCACGGCCTTATAAATAAACTTCAAGCAAATGGACGGTTTCTATTCCGCTTTAGACTTCAAGGTAAGATAATAATGTACAAAGCTTAGCAATGACATACTTAAATCTTAAGTTTATCATATGAATTACAAATCAAACTTTTTAGGCTGTGTCAACCTGCCCGTGAGTATTCATTGTTTTCAAATAATTAGCTTACGTACCGAGACTAAATCATTAATTTCATCGCTAAACCCAACCCAAACCTTACCCTAAACCTAAGCTAGAGCTAACCAAGGACTTTTGTTCAGTAATTCTGTATTTTTTTTTCGCAAACTGACATTTTGACTTCCACTATTTACACGGGCAGCCGGGCATGTAAGTTGAGACAGACACTTCGAACTTTATGTCGCCGTTGTTAATTTACATGTAACTAAGCTGAAGCTTTTCCTTTTATAAATTTCGATGTCTCTCTGAACTAATAAGCTTATATTTTTATCAATAAACCTTAATCCGCTTAACAGTGATTGGAAGAAAAGCACTGGAATAATTCTGCAAAACTGCAAATCAAGAGCATAAAGAATAATCAAAAGAACAATGTGGATTTCATACTTCAACAAAGGAGCTCAAAACAAAGTTATGATATACCAATTCACTTGTTCTTTCAATACATGAAGGCATTAGCTACTCAAATTTTTCACTAATAACTTATCTTGTTAGTTAATACTATTTTTTTAATCCAATTTAAATGTTGAATTGGGGCGGTTGAATTGCATTTTTCCCAATATTGTTCTGATCTTATTGTTCTGATTTTTTATGATCACCTATTTACATGTTTTTGTAAATAACTTATCTAATGTGTTAATAAAATGCTCAAAATACAGCTGACCATCTTGCAAAAGCAGCTCTTACAATCTCCGAGTTATGTTGCCATTGGCAGCTTGATT